CTGATAATTTTAGAGGTTTCTAATGTGATGTCGTAAATAAACACATTTTTTGCGCTTACATTGCAAACGCTGGCTGAACCCTACGAGATAGATCAAAATAATGTACTACAATATTGTACATCTTAAAAGGGTCTACAAAAAAGTCCGCGATGGTATATGTCTATCTCTTAGGAATAACCCACAATAACCATTTTTATCCTTTATTTTTTATGAGAAATAATGACTTATTTACGAAGCGATTGTAGGCAATACAGCATTAATTCTTATCCAATTAAGTACCTTAAATACATTGTGTATTCAATATAGATCAATACGGTCCTTTACAGCATGTAATTTAAATGAATATTTTCGACGATATTACAGATTTAAAATGCAGGGACATAGCGGTTGCGGCGGTACCGGCCGGGATGCCGGTTTGTATTGTCTAATGACAAAAAAACTGTGAATGTTGTATATAAGACATTCTGTTGTATATTTAGTATGTTTAGGAGGTATCTTTTGAAGATTTCCCCTTTTCGATAATAATCTAAATAAAACAAAAATATATTTAGTATCAGCATTGCACCCGTGCGAAGCTGGGGCGGGTCACTAGTTATATATATAATATGAGATATAGGATGTCCAATTTTTTCTAACTAATTGTATGAAAATTAAGAATTAAAAAGACTTCTACGTCAGAAGAAATGAATATGATACGAAATTTAGTCACAAGACTATTTATTTCAAACAGAAATCAATACGTAGAGGAAATATATATCTAAATATTATTTTGTTAGTTCAATTAAAAATGCCCCTTAAATTCTCGTACTGTTTAGAACAAGATCCACTCAGTATATTAATGGACTCTTTGTTTAAATTAAAGTACGAAGAAACGACGGCATTTTTGTTGGGGTGGTAAGAAACCTTTATTCCTAGCTCCTCTGCAATGCGGTTAGGTCAAGGCCACAATGAAAAGCATATTTCCCCAATTCCCAGTTGGCTCGCGAAAACTTAATTATGTATATGTATATTTTAAGCGAAGTCCTTTATTGTTGCGCTCTTGGTAGATTGTTAGATTTATAATAGCTGGATAATTTATTAATCAATTTTGAGAAGATAATAAACGGATTTAATTTCAGTTTCGAATTTCTTGGAATTTATTAAGGGTTTTTCATTAATTAAGTAAACAACGCAAGAATTTAGTATCAACAAATGGGAAGACTTTTAAACGATGGAGATTAGGTATTATTTATTAAATGTGATTACGAATGTCGTAAGTAGACAAGAAATATTGGCAGGTGATTGATTATAATAATGGTAAAAAAAAATTGTAATTTCTTTTAAATACTGTTTCTTTCAAGATCAATTAGAAGGGTGAAATACAGTCATATACAAAGAAAAAATAGTTTTAAATTATTTTTAAAATATTTATTTTGTAAAGTGCAGGCTCTTACTTAGGCCACCCATATTACATACGCTTGATTAAAGGAAAGAACGGTGGTAAAAAACGAATTGGGAAGTTTTTTTATCAAACTTGTAACACAAATAAAAGGTGTTTAATACCTTTAGAAAGGGCACGTCAAGAAATATTAGTGAACCTGATACTTTACGTTAAAGAAAACAGAAATATAAAACTAAATACATTTCTTTTTCATAAAGTTCAGGTACATTTTATTCAGTTTCAGTCAAACTAAAATAAGGGTAGTTTTCTGGTTAATTTAGCTTTGTATATTTTGCAATGAATCTAGTAGTGCTTCCTTTAATTTGAAAATAACCTACCTAAGAATCAAGAGGGTAGTTCTAAAAGGCTTAAAATTAAAAAGCTTTTTCATATTTTTGACCACACTTATTAAATTATTTAAAATATTTACTTAACAACGTTATTATTATATTTTTATTTTATTTCTATTTCANCAACGTTATTATTATATTTTTATTTTATTTCTATTTCAGGTACGCCTCATGTTTGCGATAGCACTTTATGTTGTAAATGGTAAGGATTATTTACTTGTTACTAATGTTAAGTAAATAGAAATAACATTTTTTCACCTAGTTATACCTACCCGTTTATGGCGCTCTATTTTTTTTATTTATCGAACAATGCAGCAGTTATATTTTTGACTTTTAATTTAAGAAATGTTATAAATATGTACGCCAAAGAAAAGTTACACATAAAAATGTTATTTTTATACAAAAATAATTCAACAATATTCGGAGTTTATAAGTTCGCTTTGCGAGTGGAATGATATTTCGCGAATTTAGGTCAAGTTTAAAAAGCAGAATATGAATCTTTCACAAACGAAAATTGCCAAGTAATTATTATTGAATCAACTAACCAACCGCTAGACGCAATCGGTCTATTAGAAAAGAACGGTGTCTAGCCGAAGTAACTGTGAATTAAATTCTTAGCATATTTCAGTACTCCACTTAAAAAAAAAAGTGAACATATACAGTATGTCCAATATGCCACATTCATACGTTCATCGACCTCTCTTTTGAACTGCTTTGCCGATTTTGCCATAGAAAGAATTTTAAATGCACATATTTTACTACAGTTCATTAAATTCTGAACTGAATGAAGATTTCAGACGCTTCAGAGAGAAAAACTGATTCCTTATAAGATCATTCTGTCCGTCTGCCACACAACTGTTCTTGTTGTAGGAATTTGGAATTTGGCACGCTGTTAATAAAAAAAATTGACATTCACATCTTTTTATTAGTACAGTTATTCAAAAGTATCTAAGGAAATTTTGGTATTTATGGACCTCGATTTCGCTTCGGTATAAATAAAATTTATTTTTAAATAACTTTTAATAAAATGTTATTTAGATAGTTACACAATGCAGTAGGTAATTACAGTAGACACTGGATAGCGTTAACATCGTATAATGTGGTGTCAGACTACTTTACATTGTGAACAAATCAAACCTTCGCTTATAGAAACAATCGTCCATTGCCCTTAATAAATAATCGATATTTCCTCGTTGCTGTAGCAGCACTGCTGTAAATCTTCAATATATGTCTTTGGTACTTCCCCAATCGTATTAGCGGAAGAGATATTGTTCGTAGTAAGTGGTTGTAGTAAGTACAAAAGCCATTATGCGAAAAATTCTCAGAAATATACAAAAATTTCATTTCATTCATTAGTGTTTTATATTTGTATGTATGTTTCTTTTGCTAATTATGAAGTTTGTTACGTTTTAAATATAACATTCGTTAACGTGAACAACCGCTCACACTACTAAATGTCTATTGTAATTGTTTTCAGAGCTATTTGCTCACTTTCAAATTTTATTTTCACAAAGGTAAATAACGAAATGATTTATTACTTAGTATGTATGTACGTTTTAACTCATGCAACGAAAATATTTTCTACTACTGTTCGGTTCCTTGGAATGCTGGATGTACTGTATATTCTGATTTCAATAGATACCGTTACGCGAGCCCACTTTGCACCCTGAACGGAATTCTATTCATTTTTGCCTGGTATGCGTATTGAACGAATCGATTTCTTTAAGAAATTTTACCAAATATGAAACGTATATATTCTCTTAAACGGTCGGATTTATTAGAGCGATTAATCTTAGCAGAAACTTCACCATACATTTTCAAAAATGTTATAACTGCTAGTTGAAAAACGAAAAAAGAAAGATGTATGGGAAACTTGACTAAACGAACGCTAATTAATTCAACCTAGTTCCTTTGTTCATTCACTAATGTTGCGTTCATTCTTTTTTTTTGTTCCTAATTCAACGATTTTATTCATTGAATACAGCGACTATATTACTCTTAATTCATAGTCGCTATTGCTATTTTAAATTCAAGTATTTTTAATTTTGTAATCGATAATTAAGCAAATATATTTGCATTTTTACCAACAATAACTGATCTGTTTTGCAATACTTTCTAATTACTTGGGAAAGTTTTCTTATCCATTGAACAAATATTTTTTTAAAAAAGGAAAATAATCTCAAAGAAAGTATATACAATGTAAAGAATCTTAAAAGCCCAACGAAATAAAACGCTGTTAAACAATCATAAAATAATACTATATTTTGTATAAAAATATATAATTATATACTCAAAAGTAGTTCAAATACACAAATATTAAATACCAGCAAATAAAATATTAATGTTTTATTTAAACTGTTAAAAATTCTTAAATCTATGACTAGCTGATTGTACAGTAATGTTTTTTTTTGCATTGAGGTAGTTTACGGAATTGTATAACCGTGGGAATGGATTTTGCCGAAGTCCTGCCCGAAAAAAATTTTTTTGAACCTGAGTTAATGATATAATTAGAAAATTCTGGCAGGAAATCGACAAATTTAGAATGGTTTTGTACTAACAACTGTCCATCTGTGTCATTGTCAGTAAAATCACTTATGATAATAAAATAATAATAATAATAAATGAAATACAGTTTTTCATTAATATTAATTTGGTCAATAAATGAAAATAGGGTATTTGGGTATTTAGTATTTTACTACCTACATAATATAACAGCCAAATAAAACTTTTCTTTTAGTTTCAACAGGGCGTATAAAAATATACTTTTATCGATAGGTAATAAGTTATATAATTTATATTTACATGGATTCAAAATAATAATTTTATCATTAGCACCAAGGGCATACTGAATCTAAAACGAAATGTACACAAGAAAAAGTTGCATTTATTCTAAAATTTCTGCATATTTTTAGCAGTTCTTTGCTGTTTCATCTTGTTACATTTCTTTACATGTCAGAATTCATCTTCTCCTTTTTTTTATTATACCGAATTAATTAATGATTAAATCGCAACGATAACACGGTACCTGTAGATTAGGTTGGTGTTATAATTTTTTAAACACTAAATAAATATTATTTTTTTCTGACAAAACATGAAATGAAAACGAGTACTTATAAACAATAATAAATTAAAATAACAACACTAACAGCAGTTAAAATAAAGGTTTCGACTTTTAGTTTAGTTAATAACGTCTTTAGCTTGAATAAATTGGTACTAAAAATTATAAAAACAATTCGAAATGACAAAATGTGAAAGCACAAATAATAAAAGCTCGCATTTTTTTGTAATAAATTTTGCTTAAATGCAGAAGCAGGACAGGACTTTTTTTTAGTGAATAATAACCGCCACCATGAGAGAAAACTAGGTCAATTTTATGAAAACGGCATTTAATTTTCTTTTTAACGCATTAATTTAGATTACCGATTGCACTGAAAACCGCCGGTATGACAAATGGCTAATTTTCACGATTTGTTTTTAAAAGCTTTTTTCAATGTTTCTTTTTATTTTGATGTCCATATGTATAAGTATGGCATACAGTCGAAAGATTGAAACTGTTATACTTACAGGGATAATACGGTGGTACGATTTATTATATTGAAAGTTTATTCAAAAAAACAGAACTTTTAGCTGACTTAATATTTGTAAGATTATTCGTCTGAATAACTCAGTCACTCCATAACGGCCATACCTTTTCCTAGAGCAAAGTAAAAGACCATAGGTTGGGCTCCAAAACGACCACAAGAAGAATTCGAGAAATCTTTTACATTATTGATATATATTTGGATAGTTTACTATTGCTTGTCTAAGGAAAAGGCAGGGAAAATCCTTACCGATTTGTCAGTTTCAGTCATTTTATGAACATTATTATTATAATGTTGTATGTGACGAAAAAATAGCCAATAAAACGTCTACTTCTTTCTATGCGCACAGCCTACGAATATTGACTAAGAAGAGTTCAGTGCAACCTTTGAAAGGGCTCTTACGCTATCAGTGTCTCGGTGGCGGTTTAGGAGGCGGCTGGGGAGGGGGTGTTTGAAACGTCTGACTGAAGCCGGGCAAAGGCAGGTTTTTATCGTCGGTTGCCTGCAACAATTGCAAAATTTCTTGGTCACTAAACACCGGCTCTTCCAATAACGGTACTGGTAACGATTGTTCGATAGTTTCAGTTAAACTCGGAGGAACCGGCGGGTTTTCTTCGATTTCTTCCAAACTTTCACTTTCCAGATCTTTGAGGACCCGTTGCGTGGATGGTCCCGGCAAGAATTCCAACGGTTCTGGACCAATGTTCAGGCCAGACAAATCTTCTTGTGAAAACAGCAGAGAAGTCACTTCAATATCAGGCAGTTCTACAGTTGAAGGGTCGAAGTTTTCCTCTATATGGGTTTTCGGAGTTTTTGATTTAACAAGTACTGCTTCTGTAACTTCCATTTTAACAGAGGATGTGCTAGGAATAGCCTGTTGTTCTAGTTCTTGCGAATGAGATTTTTTGATATGTCGTACTAGATGGTCTTTTCGCCCAAATCGTTGTGGGCAAAACTGGCAAAGGAAATCACGCATGCCTGTATGTACAACCAGGTGGCGTCGCACATCTTTTCGCGTGAAGAACTTTCGGTCACAATAATCGCACGTGAATTTTTTTTCGTTGGGATTTTTTACTGTCCGACTACCGGCGTGCACTTTTAAATGGTACAAAATCTCATCCTTGGTCTCAAACGATTGAAAACAAACCTGACACACTAGACTACCTTCTTCAGCGGCGTGGACTGCCATGTGTTTCTTAAAACTCAACAATGAGGTGTATTCTTTTTTGCAATCTGCTTTTTCACAAATGTAATGCTTCTTGCTGGGACTGTGAACTTTTATATGGTTCTTCAAGTGGTCTTTTCGATGAAATGTCCTGTCACATACTGAACAACTAAAGGGTTTTCGGTCTGAGTGGATGAGAGCATGACGAACTAATTTGAATTTTGACGTGAACGTTTTCTTGCAATGTTCACATTTGAATGTAGAGGAGCCGGTACCGTGACTTAATTGGTGTTTGGCGAGCTTGGCAGCGTTTTGAAACGTTTTTTGACATGACTGACATACATACAATTTTTTCGAAATTTGCGGTTTTTTAACTACAGCGCTAAGTTCTTCAATATTTGTTTCAACTTTTATCTTTGGAGTTTGTAAGCCAGAAGGTCCTGGTTCTTCTAAACTAGGGAATGGTTTCTTTACTGGCAAATACGGAGTAGACACACTCACTGGGCTCTGGTAAAGTTTCGTTTGACTGTAGTAATCTTCAATGTAGGCTTGCTCTAACGTTGGTTCTGGTTTTGTACTGGAATGAGGCAATGTTTGGCCAATTGTGAATTCAGAAAATGGAGTATATTCTTGCAGTGATCCAATGACGGTCATTTCTGGTGTTGTAGTTGTCGTTGACTCCTCAACTAATTGTGATGTACTAAAAGATTCAACACTTTCTGAAATTTCAGAAAGCAATTCTTCACTTTCATCTGGATTTTCTGATTCAACTGACTTCTGCACTACCTTTCCAATATTTGTCTTTTCGCCTGGTGTTCCCATGGCGATGCCAGTGAGGACATCATCATCTAAAAATTTATAATTGCAATAACATATTCAAGTGAAGAATGAACTAACACTAATTTGTATGACAATGGTTTTTTAATGTTAAACTGAAGGCCTCAACAGGAAAAATGTCTGGCAGATGTTAGAATGCTTAATTTTTAGATGGTCCAATTACTTTCACTTTTCTGTTGTACACAGTTTATTGGCAAAGCTTCACAAATGAAGAAAAACATTAGGCTCTTTTATGTTTGTTAACTTTTACTTCTATACTACTACTAATTTAATTACTCAACAAATTTAGAATCAGGAATATGCTAAGCCCTTTTTGTCATAGACTTGCAAATAATGTTTTCAGGAATAATTAAAAATATATCATTGAAATATAAAAATTCTTGAAGAATAACAATCCATTTTATTCTGTATTGAATTATAAATTTTCTTGCGGGGTTATTTTATTACCGTTTTATTTTGTATACTTTAGAGAGGTACCTACTACTGAAAAGATACAGAGGAAACTAACAATAAAAATCCACCAAATAAAATTTTTGGAAAGTTGATTAGTTTTTATAAAGTAATACAACTCCAAATAATGTACCCATAATAATCGCGAATTCATAATAAAATAAAAGGCACCTACTTGAGGAATTTGGGTCAAAAAAGGACCTAAAACAACTGTCAACTTTCTATTTAAATGTCAGCTGTCATGAAAACTGTGAATGAAATTATTCAAATACTTACACTATCGGGTTATGATGAGCAACTTCCCCCAGAGCAATGTTCAAAATTCAATAAGCACTAATTTCAATGCAAATATTTTAAAAATCCACGTTTGGTAGTTACTGTTACCGTTCTATTTTGCGCGCGCGGATTATAGATAACAATTTATGTCTTTTATTCGAATGCTTCCTGTTGAAGAAAAGTTTTCTTCGCATGCTACCGATAAAATAAGAAGTTTTTTGTTTGGAAAGCATTCACTAAAAACTAAATGCGCATAAATGTCACTGTCAAGTCGCCATATTCCGTATTTACAACAAAGAGAACGTCAAAAATTGACCAATAAGAAAAGAATCTGAATTGCCAATCAAATTACCTGGAATGTGTGAATTAGAAAGTGACTATGTAACGTTCACTGACTTTGGACTTTATAAATATAACTAATACACATTTATGTCAAAGGAAACATAGATTTACATAAGACAACGATTCCGAAAAGTGATGAAATACTAAATTTTAAATTGTCATAATGAAATTGTGTTTCGTTATAAGAATTTACTAAGTTTTTCCTTAGGGCTTCATTATAGACACTTCTGCTTTAAAGATGGCATTTGCCTATCATCTATGGACATTTGCCGACATAATCATAGATAAATTTAAAAGGCATAAACATAACCTTAATTTGTTTTAAATTAGAAATTAAAAATATAAGACTAAAATCAACAAATTAAAGCAGTGAGCTTTATAAATAGTTAAGTAGATAGTTTTCAATTACTGTAATTTATAAATTATATATTTATAAAGATGGGCTTGCTAACTGATCCAAGTGCAGAACCTAGTAAATTTACCAAGATTTTAACAAACCATAACACAAAAATTAATGTTATCCTGTATGTTGTGGGGGCAGTAGGATTTTGTTTACTTGCCCATCCTGCTGTGAACTATCGAAATTATTTTTCGGAAAATGCCCTCCTTCCTGGTTTGGTGCATTCGGAATTTCGGGATGATAGTAGTGCAAAGTTGTATTATCGTGAGTTACTAGATGAAATGAAAACGTATGATAATTCAATGCCATATCCTTGGCTTCTGGCGAAGTTTCGACAAATAGGTTTAGAGGTGTATATTCATAATTTTACATTAAATTATCCTCTTAAAAGATCACAGGTAAGTGATTCTGATGCAACTAATTGAGCTAGATGTATATTTCATTTGAATTTTAGAAATTCCATGGGAAAAACGTATATGCTATTTTAAGAGCTCCCAGGGCTGCAAGTACTGAATCATTGGTGCTGAGTGTTCCTTATAGACCCCCTTTAAGCATTTTTCAAACAACTGCACCTTCTATTGCTATTATGATAGCTTTTGCAAAGTTTGCAGCAAGTAATTATTGCAACTTTACATCATGAATTGTGATTTATTTCTTGTTTTACTCCAGAGGGAAATTATTGGTCCAAAGACTTAATTTTTTTGATAACTGATCATGAACAGTTAGGAGCGCAGGCTTGGATAGAAGCTTATTATGGTGTACAATGTGGCAAAGAAGGTGTTTTAGAGCATGGAGATTTGGAAGGAAGGGCAGGTTCTATACAGGCAGCTATTAATTTAGAACTTCATGATTTTAATTTGAGTAATAACTTTTATTACTTTATTCAAGTTTTCTTCAAATAAGGGGGGTATTTTGCAGGAAATATAGATGTTAAGATTCTAGGATTAAATGGGCAGTTACCTAATTTGGATTTGTTTAATCTTGCAAATAAATTATGTGCAAAGGAAAAGATTCCATTCACGTTTAGGGGTAGAAGAAACATGTACGATTATCGTTATGAACCGTTTCGATACTGGAAGGAGGCTTTACATACTATGATGTCCATGCTCGGTTCACAAATGTCTGGGGTTTGTTTGCAAATATTTAGAGAGATTTGGAGCAATCTCACTATATTCTTCCTTCATTAGGTTCCGGATGGAAATCATGGTCTCTTCCATCGAGTAGGGATTCAGGCGTTGACATTGGAGGGATTTTCAGAAGAGAAAGGAAGTAGGACTGATTTTTTGGTTTTAGGACAGCTTGTAGAGCACACTTTTCGAAGCTTGAATAATTTACTTGAAAGACTTCATCAGAGTTACTTTTTCTATATACTGTCTGATTCTACAAGATTTGTTTCAATTGGTAGGAAAGTTTTTCTTTAATTTGTGAATTAGCACAAAAGGTTCTGTTATAGCAAAACCATTTCTCTATTGTTTAGTTTTAAATGGCTTCTTGTAGGAATTTACACTCCGGTTTTGATTACAATGGCAAGCACATTAATTTTAAAAGCAGCCGGAATTTGGTTTACAGAGATTATTAAGGAATATGAGAAATTCAAAAAGAAAGAGGATTATTTTAAGAATAATAAAATCAAGGAAACTAATCGGGAAATTTACGAGCAAGTGGTGAAAGAGCAAGCGAGCCTGGAAAAGGTAGATTATGTGGCTCTTGGAAAAATAGTATTAATGGCGCACACATTCGGTTTGCTAGCGTTGGCGTCGCCACCTTACTTGCTCGATTTGATGTCTTATTTGGGTTACAATTATTCAACCGAAACGACAATTTTTGTAGGATTTGCAATTATTTCACTTTTATTGCTCTTTTTCCCTATTTACGACGGTTCTGTTAAAAAGAACGCCAGCACAATGAAAACCATGAATATGGTGATTTCTTTGGAATTGGGGGCAATCGTGATATGTCTTTTGATCATAAACGTAGCCCTTGGGGTTGCTCTCATATTCCTTTGGGTTCCTGCAGCTTTGTTTATAAATCCAACTGAAAACAGGTACGTTACAAGCCCATAAAATATACAACAATTTCGCAGGCTTGAAAGAAAATTGGCTTTTTTCCATAAATTTTATTAATATTACTCAGGTTTAATGATTTAAATAAGTTTCTTTGAAAATGATCTGCTCTCAGTCTTATGCGCCATTTATTATTAATGTCGTAGACGCTACTCGTTTCTACAAAAAATTACTTGGCTCTTCGTTCATCCTTTGGTCCTTACAACAGTGGCTGTTACAATTTATGTAGTCGCAAACTTCCGTGGTGAAGAATTCGAGAAAACTATGGGAAGGAGTTTTCAGGCTGCCTCTCAAGCGATTGTATACAGTATTGTCGATTCGATGGTGTACGGAAATTGGTTTTATAATATTTGTTTGGGAGTATTTTTCCCAATTTGGCTTTTATTTTGGTATTTAGCGTTTGCTGATCTCTCAAATGATGTTGTTGAAGCAGCTAAAGAGAAAAAAAATAAATGAAGTGTAATTAATACGTGTTCTTACGTAACTGTGTGATTCGTTGAAGAATTATCGTAAAATACATACATGCTTATTGAATAAATAAAATTAGCACCCTTAGACTTATTCCTTAATAAAGTAAGAGTAGATATTGTGTGTTTTGTTATTTAAAGTGATTTTAAGAAGAGTGAATTATTTCATAAAAGATTTTGTTTACTTGCCCATCCTGCTGTGAACTATCGAAATTATTTTTCGGAAAATGCCCTCCTTCCTGGTTTGGTGCATTCGGAATTTCGGGATGATAGTAGTGCAAAGTTGTATTATCGTGAGTTACTAGATGAAATGAAAACGTATGATAATTCAATGCCATATCCTTGGCTTCTGGCGAAGTTTCGACAAATAGGTTTAGAGGTGTATATTCATAATTTTACATTAAATTATCCTCTTAAAAGATCACAGGTAAGTGATTCTGATGCAACTAATTGAGCTAGATGTATATTTCATTTGAATTTTAGAAATTCCATGGGAAAAACGTATATGCTATTTTAAGAGCTCCCAGGGCTGCAAGTACTGAATCATTGGTGCTGAGTGTTCCTTATAGACCCCCTTTAAGCATTTTTCAAACAACTGCACCTTCTATTGCTATTATGATAGCTTTTGCAAAGTTTGCAGCAAGTAATTATTGCAACTTTACATCATGAATTGTGATTTATTTCTTGTTTTACTCCAGAGGGAAATTATTGGTCCAAAGACTTAATTTTTTTGATAACTGATCATGAACAGTTAGGAGCGCAGGCTTGGATAGAAGCTTATTATGGTGTACAATGTGGCAAAGAAGGTGTTTTAGAGCATGGAGATTTGGAAGGAAGGGCAGGTTCTATACAGGCAGCTATTAATTTAGAACTTCATGATTTTAATTTGAGTAATAACTTTTATTACTTTATTCAAGTTTTCTTCAAATAAGGGGGGTATTTTGCAGGAAATATAGATGTTAAGATTCTAGGATTAAATGGGCAGTTACCTAATTTGGATTTGTTTAATCTTGCAAATAAATTATGTGCAAAGGAAAAGATTCCATTCACGTTTAGGGGTAGAAGAAACATGTACGATTATCGTTATGAACCGTTTCGATACTGGAAGGAGGCTTTACATACTATGATGTCCATGCTCGGTTCACAAATGTCTGGGGTTTGTTTGCAAATATTTAGAGAGATTTGGAGCAATCTCACTATATTCTTCCTTCATTAGGTTCCGGATGGAAATCATGGTCTCTTCCATCGAGTAGGGATTCAGGCGTTGACATTGGAGGGATTTTCAGAAGAGAAAGGAAGTAGGACTGATTTTTTGGTTTTAGGACAGCTTGTAGAGCACACTTTTCGAAGCTTGAATAATTTACTTGAAAGACTTCATCAGAGTTACTTTTTCTATATACTGTCTGATTCTACAAGATTTGTTTCAATTGGTAGGAAAGTTTTTCTTTAATTTGTGAATTAGCACAAAAGGTTCTGTTATAGCAAAACCATTTCTCTATTGTTTAGTTTTAAATGGCTTCTTGTAGGAATTTACACTCCGGTTTTGATTACAATGGCAANAGGCATGAAGGTCTAGTCAGAGACATATTAGAGGCAGAAACAGGAGTTAGGAGGGGTAGAGGTAGACCTAGATTAGATTACTGTTCGCAAATAGTTAAGGATGTGAGAAATGCAAAGATTAGCTCAGGATAGGAAGGAGTGGAGGTGCGTGTCCTACCTTGAGCAAGGAACTACGAAATTCTATGAATTACGACAAAACAGCTCGAAAAACAATATCGAATCCAGCTGTGTAAAACTGAAAACTACACGATATTGCGATCTGCTAATAAATGCGTATAATCCAAAATTCTTAGAAAACGATTAGAAAAACTTTATTTATTAGATGAACCCAAAGCCAAAAAAACTATGGATCCCATTTCTTTGTCTTACTGCAATATGAAAAAGATCAGAAAGAAAATGGGGTTATAAATATTTTGATATAAAATGATTGATATTGATTTTACATCAATAAAATTATTTGCAACCCTATTTTGGCCCTGATCTTTCACGCTAAACAAACCATTTTGGCATCAGTGTTTTTTTCCAATTAAAACGGGTGACAAAGGCAAATAAGGAAGCATAAATACTTCCTAAAAAACATTTTTGCACATCTTTAGAAATCCACCCCTGTTCGATATGAATAAAAAGCTAACTATATACGTCCCTAATAAGATAAATGTTACATTCTACTGCTTTTTGGTTGATACGAGTATTAGCATATAACAACAATTTCAAAAATATTACTACTTTTAAACTTGAATTTCTTTATTTACTCGGTACATGTTTTTTGTTCTTTCATCTTCCCAGCATTCCAAAGGCCAATACCCGGGCCAGATGCGATCTTCGGCCCTGCAATTCTATGTAACTGTCTGACGAAGATACTGCTAAGCGAAACAATCGCAGTCATTGTAAATAATATTCTTTGAAACTTTACCCATAGTGCTTTTAGTTTTTATATTATTGATTCTTTTTTCACTTTACTCGCATTATTTTTTTTGGCTTTTATCTTCCGTAAGCGCACTCACGTTAAGTGTATCCCTATATTGGTATGAATGTCATTCCTCGAGTGAGGGAAATGGACAATAGATCTTCCCGTAGGGTCAATTACAGCCATTGTTCTATTNTAAAAGATCAGAAACAAAATGGGGTTATAAATATTTTGATATAAAATGATTGATATTGATTTTACATCATTAAAATTATTTGCAACCCTATTTTGGCCCTGATCTTTCACGCTAAACAAACCATTTTGGCATCAGTGTTTTTTTCCAATTAAAACGGGTGACAAAGGCAAATAAGGAAGCATAAATACTTCCTAAAAAACATTTTTGCACATCTTTAGAAATCCACCCCTGTTCGATATGAATAAAAAGCTAACTATATACGTCCCTAATAAGATAAATGTTACATTCTACTGCTTTTTGGTTGATACGAGTATTAGCATATAACAACAATTTCAAAAATATTACTACTTTTAAACTTGAATTTCTTTATTTACTCGGTACATGTTTTTTGTTCTTTCATCTTCCCAGCATTCCAAAGGCCAATACCCGGGCCAGATGCGATCTTCGGCCCTGCAATTCTATGTAACTGTCTGACGAAGATACTGCTAAGCGAAACAATCGCAGTCATTGTAAATAATATTCTTTGAAACTTTACCCATAGTGCTTTTAGTTTTTATATTATTGATTCTTTTTTCACTTTACTCGCATTATTTTTTTTGGCTTTTATCTTCCGTAAGCGCACTCACGTTAAGTGTATCCCTATATTGGTATGAATGTCATTCCTCGAGTGAGGGAAATGGACAATAGATCTTCCCGTAGGGTCAATTACAGCCATTGTTCTATTTGGATGGACACAAACTGGACACACTGAACATCAGTCGTCTCGTTTGTGCACTTACCGGAAACAGGTGGTTGTTTTCCACGTCCTTTTTCGTCACAATAATATGTTACACTTTCAGCATGGAAAAGCTGCTTTATATCGTTATCGTTGGATATACAGAGTGTCCCATAAAAATCTTTAGTTAGAAGCCGGAATAATTAATTAAGTAATTAAAAACATGGAAAAGGCTTATCTTGGCACTGTTCGTGTGTAATGCACATGGCTTCAATTCGATTCTCATCCGCTCATCACCATAAGGTCGTTATTCCTAAGATTGGTTGGACACCCATCTCCACTCTTTCCTATCCTAAGCTAATCTTCGCATTTTCCCAAAAATGAAGAACAACCCACATCGTTAACTATTTGCGAAGAGTAATTTAATCTAGGTCTACCTCTACTCCTCTTAATTCCTGTTTCTGTCTCTAATATGTCTCTGACTAGACCTTCATGTCTGAGAAGGTATCCTACCAACCTATCTCGCCTATTTCTTATTGACTTCCATATTAGAGTCCTCCGTTTTTCTATTCTTTCTAATACCTCTTCATTTCTAACCGTCTCTATCCATGGTATCCTCATTATTCGCTTGTTATATCACATTTCGAACGCTTCTAACACTTTTTTTCTTAATTAAGTAATATAACAAAAAATCTTTTTAATTAGAGTGCTATATCTGGTAGTTTTAGAACATTGTTATTCTTAATCAAATAAGTAACTTCTACAAAAAGAAATTACTTGTCGTTTTTCTTTTTTTTTTACCTTGATTCGTGTGGTAGAACGACAACAAGTTCTGAAAATAAAAACAGTAAGTAATATCTATTTGTCAATTTTAGAAGAAGTTATTAGCAGGTATTTCTTGGAAGGAAAATTTTCTGTTGCTTATGACGTATTCTTTTTAGATTTTATTTAAGGTTGTCAAATAAAACTTCTTTGAGCAATAAATTCAAATAGGTTCATATAAATTTTACATTTTGATGACAGTAAAATACTTACGACTACTGTTGCCAGACCTACGGAAATTCCCCAAGATTTAGTGAACTTAAGGATAAGGGGATCTATATTTAATTCAATATAAAATCAGGAGGATTTTTATGTAGAAGCAACAAATGTAATGAAATTTAACTAAGTAAAAAACAAAAAGGCATTTGTTTAAATAGTTGTGAATAATTAAAAAGAACCAAACATTTTCAGTTTTTGTGCCGTATGGATTCTTATTTGCTTAAGTATCCCTTTTTTGCTATTTTTTTTTCTTGGGATAGTAAATGTAGGGATACATAGGGAAGTTTCAGTAAAAAACTTTGGTTATTGGCACTTGTATGTATTTAAAATATTTAAGTTAAACCTACATTTACTTACAGATTTTAAAATAATTTTATTTAAGCTAGCATATTTATATTATTTAACTGAAGAAGTTTTCAATATTTTTTTTATATACCATTTTATTCTGTATTGAATTATAAATTTTCTTGCGGGGTTATTTTATTACCGTTTTATTTTGTATACTTTAGAGAGGTACCTACTACTGAAAAGATACAGAGGAAACTAACAATAAAAATCCACCAAATAAAATTTTTGGAAAGTTGATTAGTTTTTATAAAGTAATACAACTCCAAATAATGTACCCATAATAATCGCGAATTCATAATAAAATAAAAGGCACCTACTTGA